GAGCAGCCAATGCACTCCAGTCTGGGCAACAGAGTGAGACTCCAACTCAAAAAAAAAAAGAGAATTTAGAAGTCAAGAATGAAAAGAGGCATTATACTATAATGGTCTGCACTCAGACTTTGATTGAGATAAATCTGGCTTTGTACCCAATTTTTGCAACTTGCTAGCTGTCTCTCCCCGGGGCAGTTAGTTCAGCTTCCTTGAGTCTCAGTTTCTTCAGAGTAAAACGTGAATAATAATGCCTAGTGGATTACCATGAATAATAAAGACAATACACTCCATAGGAGACACTTAAAATGGAAATGGAAGCTAATGTTATTAATTACTATTAGTAACAATGTATTGTTATGACTATGTAAAATTACTGTTATCAAATATCCACAATACTAGTTTGACTGCCTTTAAAATATTTAGCTGCCTTCTTTCAGTTCAACTTCTATTTAGTTTTGCCCTCTTAATCTTGAGATTTATCCCTTAAGATAAAGCAACAAAAGACAAGTAACAAGATGTTGCTTGATATGTAGTATTCCACTTTAAAAGGACAGAGAAGTACTCACAACTATCATTACATGTTGACACACGTTGAGATGTACATTCCCTTCACATAACAAGAGAAATGAACCCTTCCGCATTCCCTACACCTACATCACCGTTAGAGAAAATCTGGTGTGATTTCAACATTCTCAACCTTTTTGGGAAATTGATCCTAAGTTCTGTTTTACCTTCAAAAGTCTGCGGGTAACCTGGAATGTGCTCTTAAGAAAAAAAGACTAGCTGTGGAAATCACAGTGGGGGAAAATCTTCCAATGAAAACATAGTCCAATTATAATAGTCTTCTATGCTATGTCTCATGAGGTGTCTTCAACATCTAAGTTAATTACTCAGGTACTGGACCTCTTCTGGTACAGGTGTCCAGTTGAAGCATAATCCTTATGCCTAGCCTTGACATGGATTCATGATAGATGGATTTCACTTCCTCATCTCTCAATTTGGCGTTGATCATATATCATGCTTAAGCCAATGGATATTTGTTAACATAATGCTAGTGAAGGCTTGAAATGTACTTGCATGGTTCATCTGCTTTTCCCCCCTGCCATTTACCATGAAGAATACAGGCTTGGGTAGCCACTAGTACAATAAGAATGAGATACATGGATCAAATCTGAACCAATCATACACAAACATCCCAAAATCAGCGTTAAAAATAAATTCATTTAAAAAAAAGATTAAAAACAGACATGTCATTAGTGGAAGAACAACACAAAAGAACAAATTTCTCACCAGAAATAACAAAAGCAAAAAGATGGTGGAACAACATCTTCAAAGTACTGAAACAAAAAAATGGGTCAACTTAGAATTATATGCCTCCTGGAATTTTTTTTAAAAATAAGAATTGAAATAAAGACTTTTTTAGATATACAAAAGCAAAAAGAATTCATTACCCTCATATCCACCCTACAACTAATATGAAAGAATATTTTTCAAGCAGAAAGAAAATATGGATTTACCCAAAGGAATAAAGAACACCAGAAATAGTAACTACGTAGGTATTATAATTTTTCTTATTATTTAAATATATTTAAAATATAATTGACTAAACAAAAATAATAACAAATAAATGTGAAGTTTATAACATTGACAAAAGTGAAATCCATGAAAAAGATAGCAAAAAATCAGAAGAAATCGGAGTATGTTGCTATGAGATTTCAAAACTATCTGAAATGGCATACTGCCATTTGAAGATAGACTGTGATAAGTTAAAACATACAAGATAGTCCCTAAAGCAATAACTAAAATAATAAAACGATAACTTATAGCCAATAAGCAAATAAAGAAAATTTAAAAGAATAATAAAAATTATCAATTCAAAAGAAGCAGGAAAAAGGTAGAAGGGTTAAATGAACAAATTATACCATAGAAAACAAATATCAATGTGTTAGATTTACACACCACCATATGAATAATCAGCTTGAATAAAAATGGTATGAACAATGCAATTAAAAAGCAGAGATTATCAAACTGAACAAAAGCAAGACCCAGCTAGGTACTGCCTACAGTAAACTAACTGCAAACACAGAGGCACAAATAGGTTCAAAGTAAAAGGATGTAAAAAGATATACCATGCCAACTGAACCAAAAGAAAGCTGGAGTAGTTATATCAACAACAAACAAAGTACATTTCTTTCTTAATTTTATTTTTAATTTTAAGGATGTGGGGTACAATTCAGAGTTAAGTATACAAATGTTAATTAAACAGGTACCCTTGTTGATAAGGTGTGCCCACACCTCCCCTGGCAGTTTCCCACAACTGCCAACCCCTTTTTTTTTTTTTGACTTTTAATTTTTTTTTTTTTTTTAGTCAGAGTCTCACTCCATCACCCAGGCTAGCGTGCAGTAGTACACTCACGGCCACCCCAGCGTCGACATGCTGGGCTCCAGCAATCCTTCCACCTCAGCCTTCCAAGTAGTCAGAACTACAGGCGAGCACTACCATGTCTGGCTAATTTTTATTTTATTTTATTTTATTATTTATTTATTTATTTTGAGTTGTAGTCTCATTATGTAGCCCAGACTGGAGTGCAGTGGCTGCTCCCGGCCACTGCAGCCTCGACCTGCTGGGCTCCGGCGATCCTTCCGCCTCAGCCTTCCAAGTAGCCAGAATTACAGGCATGCGCTACCACGGTCGGATGATTTTTTGATTTATTGTAGAGATGAGGTCCCGCTGCCCAGGCGGGTCTCAAACCCGCGGGCTCAGGTAATCCACTCACCTCAGCCTCCCAAAGGCGCGGGATTACAGGCTGAGCCACCGAACCTGGTTAATTTTTTATTTATTGTACAGACAAGGTCTCACCAAATTGCTGGGGCTGGTCTCGAACATGTGGGCTCAGGCAATCCATCACCTTGACCTCCCAAAGTGCTGGGATTATAGGCTGAGCCTAATTATTTTATTTTAAAGATATGGGGCACAATTCAGGATTAGGTATACAAATGTTCACTATGCAGGTACCCTTGTTGGTGAGGTGTGCTCTCTCCTCCTCTGACA